TATAGTATATATTAATTTGTATACTATTTTTATTTTATTAATAGACTATGCTATTTGACCAATTTGACCAGACCATTCGACCAATTTGACCAGACCAGTTTGACCAGTGAATTTTTGGTTGACTAGTGATTTGACCAACTCTGATAATAACATATAAAATCAGCCAAAAATAGAACAAATAGATCGACTAATCAAATTAAGTGTTATGTATATAATGATTTGATTGGTTGAATAATCGCATAACCTGTGATATTAAATCAACGATCTTTAAAAAAAAAAAAAAGAAATCTAAAGAATAGTGGTGCTTGCATATATTTTCTAAGTAGACAAAATTTGTGCGTGGCTTCATATATGTAAGAAACAGTTTGTGCAGCTCTAGATACTCACATACGAAACAATTTGTAAATGGCCCTGATAAGAACCTGTATACAAAACCTGTTTTGTGTCTTTAGTAAGGACCCGTGTATAAACAAATTTTGTGCCAAGAACCCACAAATGAAATGCATTCTCTTGTCGTTAAAGTGCTTAATAAGTATGCCAAAGAGAAGAGAGTATAGTAAACTTAAGGAATACAATAAACGGAGAAAAAAACAAGTCGAAAGAAGACAAAAAGAAGGAGGAGATTTTGAAAGGAAGGTTGAGATTGAGAAAGAGGGTGAAATGCGGGTTTGAGGGAGGATAGTGAGTTCAATAAGGATGAGAATGAAATGAGGGTTTCAGAAGGGGATAGTGAGTTCGATAGGGAGGAAGAAAACAATGAAGAGACTGACTATGATGATGAAAGAATACGTAAACGGTTATTTACTATGACCCCCATGCGAAAAACAGAACAAAAAATGCGAATGATTAAAGAAATGCTGAAAACAATCTATTATCGCAAGTTTGGTGCTTCTGGCACCCTTACTAATACTGCTAAAGAAACCTGTAAAATTACAAGTTTTTTTGGGTAGTTAATCGGGTTTTTTATTTGTGATTGGTTTCACTACTTGTTCAAAGTATTGGTTATTAACACCAATAAAACAAAGATTTTTTTTATTTTTTATTTTTTATTTTTTTTTAATTTTGAACAAGCAGTGCAATTTGAAAATTATGAGTATGTAAGACTTAAATCTATTTATTTTTAAGTGATATTGCAATATCTTCAATGGATGAGGTTTCATCTGGTATAATGTATGAAGAAACGGTATCTTCAACAAATGAAGCTTCACCTATCACAATATATGAAGGAATTAACCAACTTCAGAGATATCTTATAGAAAATAGACGTGCAATCACAGCATGAGTATAATGAACATCAGGCGATTTATGAGTATTTTGTATTGTTGAAAGATAGATATGGAAAAGAGAAAGCAAGCCAGAAAGTTGCGTATAAGACCTATATTAAACCCAAACCATATACAGCTAGAAGGATTCGTTCTCTAGCCAAATATTATTTGAATTGTAGATCATTTCTACTTTCACGCCACGGCAAGCATCAAAAACACAAATGACTTGTTGACGACGAAGACATTGCAATGCAATGTAAATGTTGGTTATGACAAAATTCCGAAGTTAATGATATTGATTCATCTGTATTTCATGAATACATCAATGATACTATTCTTCCAAGGTATACAGAAGGAACAAAAAAAACAATCTCTCTACGGACAGCCGAAAGGTGGCTGAACATCTTGGGGTTCCAATTCAGGTCATACCGAAAAGGTATATATCACGATGGACACGAACGAGATGATGTGGTTGCATATCAAAAAAAGTTTTTAGAAACAATTAAAAGCTTAGAGCTTCGAATAGCGAGGTATGAATTTAAATAATATAGAGCCTTTGCTAACAAAATGACCCTTCGGGACTATGTTTACATAGTTCCGAAAGGTCATTTTGTTAGCAAAGATTCTATATGAGTATATTTAAGATTAAGATAATTTCAACAATAATTTAAAAAATTTTTATTATTATTTAGATATAAAGGAGAATCAATGGAAAAAATTTCACTAGTACTCAATGCATATGAAAGAGAATTGATACTTGTTACACATGACGAATGTGTTTTTTATTCAAATGATGAGAAAAGAGATATTTGGGTACCAGACGGGAATATGCCTTTGCGAAAAAAAAAAGAATAGGAGATCGATTATGGTGAGTGAATTTCTTTTAGAAGAATATGGCCAGTTAAAACTAAGCAAAGAAGAAATAAGAATGCACTCGAATATTCCTATGGAGGTACGCTGTTATCTAATACCTAGTAAAAACCAAGAAGGTTTTTGGACAGTCAATAATTTACTAATGCAAATCAGGAATAAAGCAATTCCCATTTTTGAGGCAAAGTTTCCAAACTCGACAGCTGTTTTTGTCTTCGACAATAGCATAAACCATGCAGCATATGCAAAAGATGTTCTTATTGCCGCAAGAATGAACCTAAAACCCGGTGGAAACTAGCCAATAATGTGATCAACAATCTTCGTTGGGGCCAATGGACAACGAAAAACCCAACATATAGTATCTGAAGAAAACTACGTATTCGAGAAAGATAAAAACTACGATGAAACTATGTGAGAAAAACCAAAAGGTATTAAAGTAGTTTTAAAAAAAAGAGATCTTTGGAAGGATGGGTTACTTTTAGAATGCAAGGCATATAAGGGTAAGGAATTTTCGCAGGATAATTCACAAGTAGACTATTGTGCAAGAAAGATAATAGCTTTACAACCTGATTTTATTGCACAAAAGTCAGCTATTGTAGAGCTAATAGAAGGTGCTAGTCATTTTTGTGTTTTCAATCCTAAGTTCTATTGTGAACTTAATTTTATTAAAATGTATTGGGGCTGCTAAAAACTATATGAGAAAGTATTGTGATTACACTTGGTCTGGTTTGCAAGAAACTATTCCACGAGCACTTGATTCAGTCGATATCATTGCAATTAGAAGATGTATACAAAAGTCATAGAGATATATGGAATTATATCATGAAGGTTTAACAGGAAAGTTGGCAGAATATGCTTGCAAGAAATTTAAATCGCATAGACGGATACCAAAAAATGAACTAGCCCTGTTTATACGAGAAAATAGTAAAGGTGTGTATTGTTAATAAAGATCATAATTGAGAGAATGTTAAAAGGAAATAACACAATAAAATAATCGTTTAGTAATTAAAAACTTTTTTTAATCACCAACTAGGGTTGGAACAGTCTTATTTAGTTTATTTCAACATGCCTATTCTATGTTTAATTGGTTCAATTTTGTCTCTGGCTTTCTCGTTTAGTGAATTTTAAAAAAAAAATTTTATTTTAATTTTTTTTTTTTAAATTTTTTTCTTTTTAAATTTAAAATTTTTTTT